ACTGTTTTTATTTAACAGAGGAAACTTCAGGCGATGGGCGCCTTACACACCTGGATCCCCATGTGGCTCCTGTCCTAACAACTGTGTGGACAAACTCTGCAGTAAGTAAATGTATTACAAATGTGGTGTTTAATTACTGGGCAGGTAAAATGTGTTGCTGATAATGAAGACAATGAGCTAATCATTGCTTTACTTTATTTTTAGACAACCCCTGTCCATATATAGACCACTACATCAACTGTCCAATCTTGAAAAACACCACTGGATGCAGTAATGAGCTGGTGAAGGCTTGGTGCCCTGCTTCATGCACATGCACCACCGAGATCATTCCAATAGGCTAAAGGCTAAACTGTTGAGTCTGCAAACTGAGCTTCAGCCCAGTACTGTTCACATGTTCTTTGTTGGCTCTCTGTCTGTAACATGAGATAAGATACCAATGACATATGAAAGAGAACATGGAAAATAAATAAATACAGACAAATCTGTTCTATTGTCTGAAGACATTTCTTTAACACTTCACCTTTAATCAAAGACACTTTGCAGATTGTGGACAGACAGTCATAATGAATTGCAGTATTTTGTCGGAACAAACATTAAATAAAGTGTTATTGTTAATCCACTGATGCTGGCAGCACCAGATGGTGCATTTAAATATTGACTCAACACATACTGATACAATAAGTATTAGTACATAAAAAATAGCATATTCTGCATATGCTGAAGTTCAACTGTCTTTAAATGACTGAATATGAACAGTCTTCAGTAAATTGATCCCATATGTAACAGTCATCAGAGCTTTATTATATTTACATACACATATTTATTGAGTTTACATTAATATGCAATATGCTCATGCCTTCACATTCATTTTTATTGTAAAATGTAATGAAAGTCAGCAGAGAATTTCCCACGGTTAAAGATGACACTGCAATATCAAGAAGTTTAAAAAGCTGCAAAAATGACATTTTTCTCATTAACTAGTGATGACCTAAAACAAACAATTAAACAAACAATCAATAAAGCAAAGAAACTAAATGAAATACTGAACACACACTCAATAATAAGGATACAGTAAAAATCAATTTCCAAATGTATGAATAAATATTAATTAAAAAAATACTGAATGTACCTGACTGTTTTGTTTCTTATACTAAGGAGAAAATTGGTTAACTACAAATAGTAGCTCTTGTCAAGGGGACAATGGTAGCATCTTACATGGTACCACAGAGAACTGTTTGGAGGCACCACCAAAAAAGCTTTAAGCCGAACCACAGCCGAAGGAAAATCACCGACAACTAAACTGTTTTACACACTTGTGCAAAAGGACCACGTTGAAAAAGGAAAATGCTCTTTTATATTTAAAACATAACAGCATGGGTAGACGTTTTGTTTTTATTATTATTATAAGTGTTTTGTAATGCAAACGCGAATGGTCACAGGACAAGTCAGAACAAACTTTGCCCTGCACAAAAAAAGACAGTGTACCATTATAAGTCAGCAGATGTCTCTGTTGTACAACTCACCCCACCTCCTGCTTTTGTATTTCACAACACTCGCTTTGGCTGCTTTCATCTGAGGCAGTGGACTATGAACAAAGCCTACTAAACCATGTAAAATAACATTAAGCCTCATCACTCACTCTGTGTGTCTTTTTGTAAAGGAGGGTATGAATTTAGGCTCTATGAATTACATTTAAGGTCTGTGTTGACTATGCATGACTAATATTTTAAATCGCTTAATCATCCCTCCTAAAACCCGATTACTTTCTTTCAAAGAGTAGTTACTGTGAGAATATTTTCACAAGAAATCTGACGCAATAGTGCAATGAGACTGTTATGTAGTAAGAGCCGTTACTTCACCTTTCAGATTAGTACATCTTCCGAGCACCGTCCGTATAAATACAAGGAAATTAGACATAATGTGAGCTGTTATTGATTCATCATAAATACCACTCAGATGGACAACAACAACATTAGTCATTCAGAACATGTCCTACAGTCATGCAGAGAAAGCAGTTTATATTTCAAAGCATTAATCTGTTTACTTTCAAAAGTAAGTGTAGAGTCAACCCTGCCAGGTCATTGTTAGAAAACAGCATTCCCTGCTGTAGAAAGGCTTTCCATGGAACGTTGTCTTTGCTCTTCCTAAAAGCAGCTTGACAATATTTTGGTTATCCATCTATTTCCTGTATCTTCAAGGACTTCCTGTATGTGAAACCGATGAATAAAACTGTGAGATTAATGACATTTGCCCAAGAATCTTTTGTGTGCACTTGCTTCTTGCTCCTGTTGACTTTTATTTTGTTTCGTGTTGTTTACTTTCTTTTTATGCATTATTCACAGATGATGCTTGAAAAGAAGATAACATGATACAGAAATATATAATAAAATTAAAGAAAAAGAAAGCAGAACTACACCAGCAAGACTTATTTATGTTTTTTGGTGGGGTTTTTTGTATTATCCTTGTTAAATGTTGTAGGTAGAATGAATGGTGACTGGAACAGTATAACTACAGGGCTTATTTTCTCACTTGATAAGTGAAAATGAGCTCTAACTGTTAAACCACATTATCAAAATTGCATTTTCTCATTGCTCTGACATGACCTAAGCGACACAGCAGGTGTAAGCATGAAAAATGCATTTGACCCCAAAACACTTCTACAATTGACACTGAGCCCCTTCCCAGGTGGTTGGACCTACTCTAGCACATAGTTCCCCGGGTATGACATAACACGAAACACTTGCCCAATGAAGGTGGCCGTTGTGCTATTATAATAATCAGCTACGTTCACTCACAAGGGAGTTTCTGTGAAAGTGAGGAAAACCAACTTTACATTGTCTTAATTCCCTGTGACGAAAATGAAAACACAAATGCACTGTGTCATCCACATTCCATGTAAGACACAAATTATTCGACATAATGATTATCGTGGCTGAAACGATGATAAAAGTTCTGTTCCAATCATCCAAATGTTACCATAAAAAGAGGATTTGGGTTGGTTTGCACTGCATGCATGGTATGTTGTGTCTCCTTGGAATACGTTGTAACCTTTATTTTAGCTCAGACAGATAGGTAACATCCAACATTTATATCCATTTATGGCTGAAAAGTTTATACAAACCTGGAATTGAAATGCTGTTCAGTCACCCTTAGTTTACTCTCTGTATGTTCTTGGTGACTTTGTGGTGCTGTTGGTTTTGTGGCCTTTTTGCACGTACTTTTGTTTTGACTTATGTGACATAAGTCAGCAAGAAAACACTTAAACTATGTGAGAGTAATGTGAAAGGCATGTGGGTATTTTACAGTGTGTGGCACGCAGCCTTGTTTGCTATGTAGAAAAGTGAAAGTAATTGATGTGTGTGTGTGGGTCTAATATTTCCTGGTAGTCTACAGCACGGATTTCTAACTTATTTTAGTCAAAGTGCAACCTAATTTCAGCTTAAGTGGGTAAGCTCAGTAAAAACATTCTGTAATTGTTTATATTTAATCATTTAATAAGTAAATATTATTACACGTCTAAATATTCTCTTCTGGACATGAAGTAAAACTTTGAGAACTATTCAGCTCAGCCACAGGTAAGGTTTTTAAAAATTTTGCTCACATTTTTAAAAATCTTAAAAACCATTAAAAAACACATTTCTATAACTTTACAACAAGGGGTATTACTTCTTACTTAATCATTTTTCTTATTTCCTGAGAGTAATTTATAACACTAATGATGAGCAGGTGAGGTCTTTTGAGATAAGTGTGATTTCGTTGGCTGTACATGTACATTATATTTTACAGATCACACCGTAAAGTAATAAAACATTGAAAACATATTTGACACCTTTAAGAATTAAATCACTGGACTAGATCAATAAATACGTTCTGTATCTTTCAGTTTCAGCACCACCACAAAAGGACCGGTGGTACATGTTATTGATTAACAGGAGTAATTAAGGTTTATTCTGCAATTTTTATACTTTGCCAAACCATCAAGTGGACCAAACGGACCCCGTGGCGGACCGGTACGAGCCCGCAGGCCGTATGTTTGGCAGCCCTTGTCTATGGGTTTGATTGACAGCTCGGCCTGTTTCTCCTGGTGCGCGTTCACGAGACATACACAACTTTGTTCCATGGAGACTACTGTATGCGCGTGATTTAACGGGAAATCAACGTTTTCGTTTCTTTTCTCATTTTTCTTTTAAGAAAACGTAATAACCGCTGAAGTCTGACCTGAAAAAAAAATCAGGGGAAGCATTTCTCTCCTTCCTTTTTAGAGTTTTAGTTGGCTGGGAAAACTAACTTCAAACAGCTAGCAGGCGAGCGGAGTTAGCTGTAGCTAAGCTAAGCGCTGCTCGGCACACAGTAGTGAAAGACAGCCAAGGGTGCTGTGCTCAAAGAAGACGGGTCATTCATGGATAGTGTGGGACCAGGCGCTTTAAAAGGCAAGTACACAAAACCGACGAGCGTCACATGAAGCTAATCGTGACTTTAGTGGAGACGTTAATTGACCTGATAAGTTTCTGTTAACGTTATTTACCTTAACGACCACCGGTACGCTGGTGTGGGGGGGTTGTTATTATTGTTATTACAGTTAAATGGACCGTAATGGAGTCGCTGTGTGTGCGAACTTGTGCAGAAATGCACAAGAAAGCATGCACATAAATGGGGAAAAACCGGCTGTATTTGCTGCATTTGTGATGACAGCCTGTAGTGATTGCAAGTTAACATCCGCTTTCAGCGCACTGCTGAACGCCTTCTGTACAAAAGCTGCCACTGTTCACGTTGCTGTTGTTACTACTGTCATGCTGCCTAATTATGCTAATCGCTGTGGTTTCTCTCCACAGAGCACAATGCACGGAGAAAACCCCTCTCTCTGTAGGAACCTGTCAGCTATCTGCACCGAGAGATGATACGGCGTGATTTGGTGTAAATGTTACATCGAGGCAATAGGCCAGGCAGGAAATTGGGAGTACGGCTGAAACATACGGCTTTGTTACCCAGCAGCTCGTCAGCTTGTGTGTGTGTGAGAGAGAGAAAGGGAGCGTGTGTGTGTGCTCGAAGTGCCTATGGCGGAGTTTGAAGAGGACGGCAGCCTGCCTCCATTGAATCCCGACGATACTGCCGTGCCCAGCGACAACGCAGCTGGTAAGACGCATTGCGAAGTGTCGGTCTTGAATGGAGACTGTGGGATATCTGAAAATATGGTCGGCTCGGGATCCCTCGTCGCACCTGGCAGCCAAACCGGGGTGGACAACGCCAACACCTCTGCCGGTCTGGACACCAAATCTGAAATACCACGCAGGAGCAGCATTATCAAGGTAAACACTGAAGTTCAAGCCTCTGTGTTATACCATTCATTCTAGTGAGCCAGTGTGTTGCACATCTACGCAGGACACTGGATGTTGGAAGTTACTGTGCAGTCTCTTCTGTGTACATCTTTGGTTTTGTGCACCATGATTGCTGTGAAATTTTCACACAATAGGAGCCAGTAATAGGAAGCACATCCTGTACTTTAAATATAATGTCTATAGCAGAGTGTATTGTTGACTTTAGCTTGTATGTCAAGAAATTCTGGCTACTAAAGCACTTGTGCCTGAAGAGCCACGATACAGTTACCAGAAGGGAAGAAACAGACGTTTAGGTGAAGCATGTGGTTCAAAGTAATATGCTGTCTGTGCTAATTTAGGAGGGAAAACTAATGTGTGCAATAACAGAGATTAAATTGGAGAACAACAAATACCCGTAAATGAAAGCTGACTGAGGTAAAGTGGGGATGAGAGAGTGGAAGGGTAATGATAGTAGCTGGTGCTCTTAATAAAATGTTATGCACGACTAAAAATGTTTTATGTTTCCCTAGTGCTGTCTGATTATGGCAGATCAGACAGATTATTGTAATCATAGTAGTTACTCAGTGTCACTTACTGACTTTGGGAGCATCTTTCATTGCTTGAGGTTAAAAACATGTCTTTAAAACAATGAACTATCTTGAACTTACTTCAACCAAACATGCCTCAGCTTGGCAGCTAGTGAATTTGGGCTTGCACCAAAGCGCTTCCAAACTTACCTGAAAATCACTAATTCCTAATCCTGTTTTATTTTTCAGTACATCTGGTGGTACACAGCAACAACAACAAAAAAGTTGATAGTTAATTCACTGAACCTCATTTTCCAAAATATAAACAAATCGTTTTGCCTCAGTCTGCTGAGGCTGTCAATCAGAGAGGTCTTTTGTGTGTGACTGCTTTAACATTACGAATCATAAAACAGTCAGCTCCTCCAGTGTTGTCAGGATGCATGTCGAGCAACGCCTGACAAGAAGAACATTCCTGCATTGTTTGCGTGGCTTGTTGTAATCAAAAAGTTCTGCACTTCCACTCGTAGAAAACAAAAACCATACCCGATTTGAATTTCTTCATTCTATTCTTTATAGTCGTCTACTTGCGCACCTCTGGTCCACTTCCAACTACCAGCGCTGCCACCGTTTCCAACTGGAAGGAGTTGTAGAGCAGAAAATACCAAAGCCAATCTTCTCAAGCTGTGCAAAGAGCGGCTTGAGAAGGCTGGGTTTGCATTTTCAACCACTTCTCACATTTTATCTGTAAATTCATTTGTAAAGCAACCACTGAATTGTCTGATTAGAAATGATCTGCAACTTATGCACCATAAATCAAATTCATCATGCTGAATTTCTGTGTATGATCGACATGTTTTTGAACCCCCCACCCCCGCCAAAAAAAAGAGAAACGTCACTGGTTCCTTAAGGCATGTTTTTTGCCAGAAAAATCCTGCACCTATGCACCAATTTTAAGATTAGTCCTGCACACTGTTATCATAGTATTTATAATGTAGAAGGTAACACGAGAAAATGCTGCTGGGAGAGAGCCATGTGGTCAGCGAGAGTCTGCGAGCAAGACTTAACATGTTCCAGGTGCTGATTCTGAATACTAATATGGCTGCTGAAATGCACAAGTGTGCATGTTTCTGCGAGGTATGCAAATACTAAACATTTGACACATACAGAGGTCTAATCTGCTGGTTCGTAATTTGATTTTGGTTCTCAGTCTAAAGCTTTGTCTTTTGGTTTAGTCACCTCATGGGTGTAGATGTTGTGAATATTGCTTAAGGGTATCAAAGATGATGACACTTCCTCACGTTGCACATTATGTCGAAAGCCCCAAGACATTTTCTTTAGCTAATGTCAGCAGCTCTGTAATGTAAATTTTCCCACTGCTACTGTCGTTGTCACAATGTGAGTCACAAGACTGCACTGGAGATGCTGTCTAGACTGAACAAACTGCTCACTACTCTGTTCTTCACATTATTTATACTGTCTGCCTGGTAAACGTTAACCTAGCAGAGACTCAAAATGGCTCCCAAAAGATCTCAGAAATGTGTGCCTTTTTAATTAAAATGCGTGTTTACGTTTGGCTTCTAGAGGTCAGTAAATTAGCTGTTAGACCAGGGATTTTATTTCCTCAGGGGCCTGCCAGATTTAAAATGCATGAGCCATGTGAGGAATTTATTCAGAGGCACCTATCAGAGAGCAGCGTGCTTTTGAGTGAAGTCTGTGTCCTAATTGTGCATTAACACAACATGAGCACCCAGTTTTCGATCTGTGATGTTATACCTGAGGAAAGTTCCTCTGCTCTGGATGCAGGGCAGGGTTCAGGTGCTCACATTTTTGCCAACAGGTTCAGCAAGGAGGCAAATTCTTGGAAAATTGTAGCTGCTGAGCTTTGATGTTACCTGATGATTGACGGGGATAATATCGACATCAATCAATGGTGCAAAATTCCAAGTAATCTCTCACTATGCAAGAGTCCTACTTAGTTCCCGAGACATCTGAAGGCACGTGTTAAGAAATGCCCTGAATTCAGACACGTTTATTTAAATGTAATAGATATGAAAAGATTTCTGACTTTTTCTCTAAGATATTTTTGATTGAACTGAGAACATTTTGTTCAAGGAGAGGCAGAGATCGATGCTCTTCATGCAACTGTCCAATTTTAGTTAACTGGTCCAGCGATTTCCACATGATGGTGCAGTGCCAGGCTATCCATGCAGATGAGAAATCCTTCTTAAATGCTCAATGACCTAAATTCAATAACCGCCATATCAGATTGTATAACAGTAGCCTTCATGACAAAGCATAATGAAATATGTGAAATGTACCTCAGGTAGTTTGAAATGGTTTTGTGGCATTTCCTTAGCAACACAGTACGCAGATGGATAAATATCTAGTGAATCACAGCAGAGACAACTTACGACAAGTTGGAGACAAAACATATGTCACAGTAGGCCGCCATTAGGAGAAGTCAGTTGGGTAAAAAGATTTGTGTTCATACAGGAAGTGAAAATATTAATCAGCAATGGGTTAAAAAAATTAAGAGAAAACCCCCACTAACAATAAAGCTAACTAAAGTGGAATTTATCTTCCAAATTTCCCCTTTTTAAAGCTGAAATTATTAAAAAAAAACAAAAAACAATTTAAGTTGCATACGTAAATGTGTCTGTGAATGGAAAATAAAACTGCAACATGCTAATCATTCACTGTTCCACTTGCGTGATGACTAAACTCTCTCTGAATATCCTGAGGAATACATCCAGTAAATCAAGAATGCAGCAAGCTGTGCCCTTGACTACAAGGAAATCCTTTCTTGCAGGTATTTGTTTTTGTTCCTGATAGGTATGACTGATCAAGTAATGCACTGAGATGTTGGTGGCGAAGGAGTAGGCCAGCGTTTACGAGACGGCTTGTTTCACACCATCACTTCTTGTTAAACTCTTTCTCTGAAGCGATGGGAGGATGTGGTTGGAACATCACCCACCATGGTGTCATAGTAACAGCTTGTAGTACCTCTGTGCTTAACAACTTGACTTCTAGAAAGGTTTCTGTTTCACATAATTAGTGTGGGTGTGTATACATGTGTGTGGTTAAGAGTTACAAGCCAGTGCACATTTAAAGCTGCATGGTTGGGGCCGTTCTTCCTAAATTACAAACTGAGTCAAGCCAAAGTCCTTGAGTGACAAAATTACACCATTTGTTGAGCTTTTAATTTGGTGGTTGCTGAATAATGCTATACTCCACCCCAAATCTACGCTCAGACTGTCGCTCATCATCCCAGTGACGGAAAACTTTCATGTGCCAGGACCTCTATGGCAGCGGTCTCCAACCTTTTTTGCGCCACGGACCGGTTTATGCCCGACATTATTTTCACGGACCGGCCTTTAAGGTGTCGCGGATAAATACAACAAAATAAAACTAGTACCGGTACCCAAAAAAGAAGATTTATTCATAACACACGTGAAAAGACCCAGGAAAACAGAGTTAACGATAAAAACGATAACAAAATAACGCTGAAAACCGATAAAAACCCTGAAAAAAATACATTTCACACCTGAGCCTCAACTCTCGCGGCCCGGTACCAAACGACTCACGGACCGGTACCGGTCCGAGGCCCGGGGGTTGGGGACCGCTGCTCTAGAGAACCGGAGAGGGTTTGTGATGGATTCGTTGACTAGACCAGGAGTTGGCAACCTTTAAGTTTATTGGACTAACAAAATTCCGTGTGGAGCCACAAAATATGTCTGAACCTTGTAATAAAAATAGAATGTTACCAAACCTGACTACTGTTCAGTGGGCTGTTTATGATTGTTGGTACCTCAACTTAGCATTGTCATTTTTATAGTTTTGTTCATTTAACTTTTTGCCTGTAGATGAATTGGGGGTTGCAGGCTGGCAGAGTTGTATGTGGGTTCAGAGTTACGAGTTCACAACCTCTGAACTAAATTTTTCAACTCTGATACCATTAGTTAAACTGATCTTGCCTGTTTTTCATAATGCCAGTTAACATCTGCATCTCAGATGTTATCCAGCTCCCTGTTACTAATCAGGGCTGCAGCATCCCTTACACTGTGATGAGAAGCTGCAAACAGTTCAGGTAAAAAGTAAGACGGATGACAGTCCTGCTAATGGTGCAGTTTTGCAGTGTGTTGCTCTAGAAAGACAGTAGTCATGTTTAAAATGATTATGTTTTTTTTCTTCTTTTTTTTTAAATGGATAAAAGTTAAGACATATGAAGCTAGATGGTAGGACCTTATTTTACATAGTGTTGACAAAAGCTAATGCATCAATGAATTTATTGGTTAATCTGAACTAACACATTTTGTCATCAAAGTCAGAGAGTAGCACAAACTAACCCATTGAGGAACCTATAGATAAACATGTCTCATTTTTAGCAAAGTAAATTCCTGTTTTTTCCAGTGGAGTCTCATGCTGATGCAGGGAAAATATTCTACATATATTGTATACTTAAAC